ACTTAAAGGATACTTGCATATACTGCTTTTTGCTAAGGGTACCCCTGAATTTTTTAGTCATACCAGTAGTACCCTCTGTCAAACGTAATGATGATTCTCCAAAGCTATAATGTACTAAAGCTGATTATTAAATGAAAATTAGTTATTTGTGATCCATCATATCAAAATGAGGATTAAGTCAAATTAGGTCAAAATGACCTAATTACATTTTCAGATTCTTGTCTTTAAAAGCTACATTTTGATACCTGGATCATTCTGATATAAGTTTATCCAGAAATATGACTTAATTTGTCTTGTTGGTTACAATAATACATAAACATTTAGTCTGAATCCTAATTTTACGTAATTTTAATGAGGAATTTTTGATGTTCTTATAAAGAGGAAACCTCAAATTATACATATTAAGATTTCACAGCTGAAAATAAACAAAACTTTGCTAACTCACATAGAAGATCTCAAAATTTTAAGGCATTTTTCGTCAAAATCATGGTTTTTTATGTTATTATTGCTCAAAAAGGTGCTTCAAAATGTTGTTTTATGATTATATTTCAGACAGTTTATTCAAATGATACATTGATTTATTCATTATGTTTTGACAAAATGTTATTTTGCAAACGTTTTAATCAAAACACTAAATGTGTCTGTTTCTCCACAACTTTTAGATGTAATCCTGGTTCCGATGTGACGGCTCACATGAGTTAAAGTGAAAAACAAGCAGCTGAGCTCTGAATTTGATGCATTTCTGTTTATTTTTTATTAACTGGTGTTTCTTTAAATATGGGGCGGTTTAAGTTCTACAGGTTCTAGCTGTTCTTAGACGGTGAGTTTAGGGTCCGATTCTTCTACCAGGCTCAGTAAAAAGTTCTGCTTCCTGTTTCATCAGGAAGTGTCCAGTTCTCTGAGGACCCACGTGGCCAGACCCGGTTCTGGCGGAGACAGAACCGGACCAACCCATGGAGCAGGAAACATCCGGGTCCAGTTCCACGGAAGTCTCTGTTCGAGTTCTGACCCGAGGAAGGTCCTCATTAGGACGAGGAGGCGGTGTTCCCAGAGGACGCCACCGTGGTCTCCCTCGGAGACTCCGCCTCCTCCCTGTTGGGGTGGGAGGAGTTATCCGACTTGCTGCGGCTRAACTCCGCCCCCACCGCGGCGGGCCCGGCCAGCTTGGGCCGGGGCCGCAGGCCGGAGGCGCAGCACAGCAGCGTCTTGAGGAAGGCGTGGCGCATCTCGTTGCTGGTCAGCGTGTAGATGAGCGGGTTCATGGCCGAGTTGAGGACGGCCAGCGCCAGGAACCACTCGGCCTTGTAGAGGACGGGGCAGGCCAGCGTCTCGCAGGCGGCRTCCAGCAGCAGCAGCACGAAGAGCGGCGCCCAGCAGGCGATGAAGCAGCTCAGGACGATGATGACCGTCTTCAGCAGGGCCAGGGACTTCTCTGAGCTCCGGCCGCCGCCGCCGTTGGTGGCCTTGCGCAGGACGAGCTTGCGGCTGCGCGTGCGCACCAGCGCGTAGATGCGGGCGTAGAGCGCCACGATGGCGAGGAGGATGATGCAGAAGACGCTGGTGCAGAACAGGATGTAGGTCTTGTGGTAGAGCGGCAGCACGGTGGAGCAGCGCGGCAGGCTCTGGATGCAGTTCCAGCCCATGACCGGCAGCCCGCCCAGCGCCGCTGCCACCATCCACACGGCGCTGATCAGCAGGAAGACGCGGCACGTGTTCCCGCTGTTGTGCAGCTTCATCTTCAGCATGGTCAGGTGGCGCTCGATGGCGATGGCCAGCAGGCTGAAGACGGACGCCGCCAGCGCCACGAACATGCTGCCCTCCCGGAAGAACCACTGGGTGGGCGTGAGCCGGTAGGTGTTGGCGCCCGACAGCAGGATGTTGGCCGTGTAGACCACGCCCGCCAGCAGGTCGGACAGCGCCAGGTTCCCGATGAAGTAGTACATGGGCTTGTGGAACTTCTTGGTCCTCCAGATGGTGGTCAGGACCAGGACGTTCTCCAGGATGATGAAGCAGCACACGATGATGAAGACCACCGAGTCCGCCTTCAGACCCGAGTCCTGCTGGGTGGTCCTGCGGAACTTGCCGGTGTAGTTGTAGTGTTTGGCRATGAGGTCGGAGTAGCTGGGCTCGGCCATGGCCTGCGGCGGGGCGGGGGGTCCAGCAGGGGGCGCTGCGTCTTCAGACTTCAGTCCTTCGTGTCAGGTGGTCCTCCTGGTGAGGAGCGGGGGGAGTCCTGGTGCTGGAGGGGGACATGGTCCTGCAGAGAGGGGACAAAACCCTGAGATTAAAGTCCTCCGTCCAGTTTCTGACAGACTGAGTCTAAAATACCAGAAGAGTCCAGAAGTTTGGTTTGAAACTTAAGAAACTAAGACTGATCTGTCCACAGGGACTCGTTGGACACAGGTGTCAGAAACTAAGACTGATCTGTCCACAGGGACTCGTTGGACACAGGTGTCTTCAGTCCTGCGATCAGTCTGTTTAAAGGCTGACAGGTAGTCACAGGGCTGTTTGGTATCGTGGTGTGTAACACACTGAAGACTAAAAGTCCACAGGTCTGGAGACAAGCTCCCTGGATGTGTCCACAAGAGGACAACAGATACTCCGACCAGCATCCAAAGAGTCCAAAACGTCCAAGGACAAAGGTCATCAGACTGTTTGAGACAAAGTGGACTGAATGGACGAGGACCGAGGACACCAAACCAAAAAAACAATCAGAATTGTCCACGTTTACTTCTGGGACTATTTCCTTTGGACAGATGAGACAAAACTGGAGTCCACTGTGTCCACCGACCCAAACATGAAGCAAAGAACAGAACCCTGTCCTCGGTTCTGTTCTGGGACTTGAGTCTGTGCTGGGTACACTGAAATCTCAAGACCATCAAGGCCGTCTAAAGGTACCTGAGCTGCTCAGTGTCAGAGTTTGGTCTCACGGGTCCTAAAGACACACAAGAATGGGTCAGAACCAAACACTGGACCAGAACACCAGAGGACAGGTGGACCAGAACACCAGAGGACAGGAGGACCTGAACACCAGAGGACAGGAGGACCTGAACACCAGAGGACAGGTGGACCTGAACACCAGAGGACAGGAGGACCTGAACACCAGAGGACAGGAGGACCTGAACACCAGAGG